TGAACCGTTGCAGATCTGAACCTGACACCGGCTGTCGGCTTCGTACGGCGCAGCGCTGCTGTCATTTACTGTAGGGGCCTTAATAATTAAACTAGGGTTTTGGGGGTTCCTTATTACAATTAGAGTACAATGGGCCCCAAAACCCTATTCTAATTATTAAGGCCTCTATATTACCCAAGAAGGCAACCCGGCGCACTTTGCTTCCACGCGATCAGGCACTTGCGAACCGCATGTCATCTGGCAGGCGCGGTCAACGGTCCTCTATAGCAACAGGTTCAACCCTAAAGTTCTGGAGCGCATGCCATTAGTCTCACTATTATTTTGTGTTGTTTGTTATCAATGCTAGCGCTGCTATGTTCATTTTTATCATTCTTCTTCTTACTACCCAGAGGCTCCATACTAGTTCCAAGGAACTACTATGGAGCCTATGGGTATTGCTGTGAATATTCAGTCTAAGTCTAAAACCCCGAGATCTTGTAGCCTGAACCCTGAAGCTAACGGAACCTCTTTCCAGTCCGAGGGTGCGCACCCCCACCCACATTACACAGGGTTCAGGGTTTAGGGTACCGGACGACGGGATGTTCGTCGCTATGCGGTAGTGATGTATATCGCACCCTACACCCTAAACCCACTTGGTGGCTTTTTGGTGGAAACTAACCAGGAGCCTTATAATCTAGGTTAGAACTGTATGATTGGCCATACGTTCCCCTTGACTTGGGCCTTTTGGGACCTAAGGCCATGTACCAGTAAGTAGCATGAAGCCTAAAGCCCGTAAGATAGGGGCCTCAATAATTAGAAAAAGGTTTTGGGACATATTATTCTATAATTAATTACAATAAGGAGCCCCCCAAAATAGTATTGGTAACGATTCAGGCCCCTATATTCAGCCCAACACCAAAACGCTCGACATGAATCCTGCAACCCCCTGTAGCAACCCCCCAGAGAGCCCAACACCGCTCAATTAAGGAAAATATTTCTTATGTTTCAGTGGGTATTGGGCTCTCTGGGCCTCTCTACAAGCCCGCAAAGCCCTATAAGTAGCCCGGCCATTTTTGACAGCGCCGGCGCAGCTGACCCTTTGATGTGCGGCGCTCATTCCTTCTGGACCAAATTTGGGTTTTTTTCACAGTGAGGTTCCATTCCTAGCGATTGGCTGTTTGGAGTTTAGACTGAGAACACCATTTTTCCTGAAACTTGCACTTCAACGCTCTGACAAGAATTTATTATATGCTGGCAGCACAGTACAGTATGTATAGCGATCCCCACGTTTCAGCATCATTTGGTCCCTATGTTGATGGCATGCTGGCTTTTGAATTGCTTCTGGCAGCTGCCTTGACTCCCGGCCACAAGCCCCAACACCGAAGCGGGCAAGCACAAGTAAACCCTCCCAGAGCAATCCGAATAGATCCCACAACCGGAATGAGTGTCGAGGTTACACCCTAAACCCTCAACCCTAAACCCCTAAACCTTGACCCCTAACCCTAAACCCCTAACCCCTAAACCCTAACAACCCCTAAACCCGTAACCCCTAAACCCTAACCCCTAGACCCTAAACCCCAAAACCCCAAAACCCCCAAACCGTAAACCCAAACCCATTTAAGGGATCGCAAACGCCAGAAGCCAATAGACCAAAAGAAACTAAAACCAACAACCCGATAAGACCCCTTCATTCAGCACTGAAGGAAAGCATAAAACCCATAAACAACTACGTAAGGTTTCGGGTTTAGGGTGTAGGGTTCAGGGTTGCAAACAACACCGAATAACTGAACCCATGGTCGAGTTTTGAGGCCACTAGTATGGAAAACCCTAAACGGACTGTAGCACCAGAACGATGCCTTCTTGTACAACGCCGATTCTAGTCAATTAGCATGGCCCCTTGCCGAGGCTGCCCGGGGGTTAGTAGACGCCCGCCAGAGTCGTCAGACCGAAGCCGATGAACAGGACCTTAGCATAGGGTCAGCCCTCAATAAAAGAATCTACCCTTAAATCATATTCGGGATCGGAATTGCAAACACAATACGCTAACTTAACTTGGTTATAAAGTTAAAATCATCTTGAATCAGATGTGGCATCCTAGAATCACTTGAGGTACTTTCCGTCCTTATGGGGTATTTGAAAGATCTGGGGTTTCATAGAAACCTAAGTTCTAAAACCCTATAGCTACAGTTGCATAGAGAGTTCTGTTTTGGGGTTTGTGTTGGTGTAGGTCTTGGGGTTTGGGGTTTAGGGTTTGCCTCAAGAAGTGGGATGAAGGTAGCTAGGATTACGGCTCCCTGATAGAAGGACCCTGAGTTTGGGATGACCCCAACCCTAAACCCTAAAGCCCTAGACCCTAAAGCCCTACACCCTAAACCCCTACAAACCCTAAACCCTGAATTTCCTAAACCCTAAATTTCCTAAACCCCTAACCCCCAAACCCTAAACCTTGATCCCACCCGTGGAGCCTTTCGGTGGAAGAGGGTATCTTTTTCCCGCCTCTTCCAGACGAAGCTCAGAGTTGACTAAACTATATAAACCCTACAGTATAAGCCCTAAACCGATCTTGTCCTAGCACTACGGTTTAGGGGTTAGGGTTTAGGGTCTAGGGTATTGTAGAGGTTAGGAATCCTAAACCCTAAACCGATCTTGTCCTAGCACGAAGCTCAGAGGGCTTAGGGGTTTGGGCTTAGGGTCGAGGGTATTGTGGGGTTTAGGGGTTTAGGGTCTAGGGTATTGTTAGGGTTTAAGATTTAGGGTATAGGCTGACGATCTTGTCCCAGCAATGCCACAATAATATGGGTAGTAGGGTCCCTTTCAGGATCCCTTTGTGCAAGGGAGCCGCACTACTTTGGGGGACCTAAAAGGGCCCCGAACTTGGGGAAGCACTCACATAAGGGCCTGAAGAACTTGAACAGGGCTTTGGGGTCATATTCTGGCATACCTGCAATAAGGAACCCTCAAGAGGAATAATGCTTGTCCTCATTCCGGCTTCCTCATTAGATGCAAGAGAAACAACAAATAACTCGGAACGTTCTAAAGCACAAATCCAAAACTGTAAATCCCGATAGTCTAAACCCTAAACCTAATGCTGGTTCAGGGTATAGGTGAGAATTCCAGAAAAGCAGGGATCCTAATACAGACCCGAACCTAGAATCCTTCAGCATAAGTAACCCCCATCAAGGGACCCTCATGAAAGCTTTGGAGGATGCTTGCAAGGCAACCCTTAACCCCTAAACTCGGCCCTAAACCCTAAACCCTAAAACCCTAAACCCTAAAACCCTAAAACCCTAGACCCTAAACCCTAAAACCCTAAAGCCCTAGACTCCTAGACCCTAAACCCTTCAGGGTTCAGGGTACCACTCTCAGGTTTGGGTTCAGTAGACTCCAAAACCCCAGCATACTACCTAAAGCATCCCCACACTCCTAGACCCCAAATGGTCCGGAACACTTCACCCCCTAAACCCTAAGCCTTAAGCCCTAAACCCCTAAAGCCCAGTACTCCCTAAATAACCCCAAATCCTAGAACTAGAAGCCTATAGCCCTGACTGATCAACTCGGAACCCCATGTCGGCCCAAGATTCTCCGCCGACCAGCTTGACCAGCCGATCGCTGACCTTCTCGCTCTTTTCCGAACGGTTTAGGGTTTAGGGCTGAGGGGGGGGGGAAAACTAAAGTCAAAAACTGACGCTCTATTCTAGAAGGCATACGAAGGAGTTACGACAAGCTTAAGTTCTGGGGATTGATTCAGGCTTGAGTTACCTGTAGAACCTCAAACCCTAAACCCTAAACCCTACATCCTCAACCTGACCCTGGATTAACTTGGCTTTAGGGCCTGTGTTGCCTTCCAGGGTTTAGCAGTTTGGTGGCTTTGAGGCTTAGGTAGCGGACCGGGAAAATCAACCCCAACACCAAAGCTCCTCAGAGCAGCAAACACCAGTCCTGCAATTCATGGCTAAATCTCTAAATTCGGGTCCCTTCTTAGGTCCCCAATATAGTACGGCACCCTTATAAAAAGGATCCTAAAAGGGAGTCTAATTTAAAGAACGACCCTTACGTTTCCCAGTATCCCCTGTACAATCAAGGGGCCCCCTGTTCTCCTACTCAGTCTCAATAAGGAAGACAACAGGGTACTACCGGCGGACCTCATGTTCTAATCCCGCAAAAGTCTATAAACCCCAATCGGGACACCACTGAATGATCACGCGCTCCCCTCCCTGCCCTTCGCCCCCGACTTGAAAGGTCTAGACAGAAAGACAGAGAGAGTGTGTGTATATCGATCGATATGTATACATATATATATACATATATGTATATATAGATATACATATGTGTATATATATATACACATACATATATATATATATATGTATATATGTTTTGTACGTATGAGTGTGTATACATATATATATATACAGATATACATGTGTATGCATGTATATATATATATAGACACATACACATGTGCGTGCGTGTATGTGTAATTACTATACATGTGTGTTTGTTTGAAGCAATTACCCGCATGGATCCCCGGAACCTCTGTGATAAACAAACCATGCCAAACATCACTGACCCGCCTAAACCCTAAACCCTATAAACCCTAAACCGTAGACCCTAAACCCCAAACCCTTTTAGACAGCTATCCAGCTATCCCTGCGCCTCAATTCGAAAACCCTTCTCTAAACCTTAGCCTTTCACCCCAACCCCCACCGCCCCGCTCCCCCACATAAGCACAAGAACATGCATAAAAAACTGAGGGTCCAAGTACCCAATCATCATATACTCTCCCAGACGTTAGCCTAGATAACTACTATCCGCAACCAAAGTACCTTATTCTTCTTCTTATGATTATTGTTATGGTTATTGCTATTGTTGTTATTATTGCTATTGGTATTAGTATTATTATTAGTATTATTATTACTATTATTATTATTATTTTTTTTGTTTTTATTATTGGCTCCTTTGGATCCTTAGGGCCTCAGGGTAAGAACCGAGGCCCTGGTCGCTTCTGCCGGGGTCCGCGCGTGCTCCTCGAGAAAATGGCCGCTGAGGACGGCCAAGGTGCCGGCAATCAGGTGGCCAAAACCTGTGCTCAACCCTACCTGCCTGACACTACCACCACCTACTTTGAACTGTGGCTAGAGCTTTACAAGTTATCTGCATCAAAGCTTTCCTGCACAATTTCTTGATTTAAGTTGTAAGGGTATCGTAGCTCCAACTCAATGAAAATGGTTTAAATAGGGTTTAGGGAAAGTTTAGGGGCTTTTGTGGCTCATGGCTTGGGGCTGAGGGCTCAGTTTGGTGTTCGGGTTTGTGGCTCCTCTACGAAGAGACTAACCTCCCGTCTTTGGAGCTGCTTTTGCGCGGAAAAGGAGCAGAGCACCCCAAAGGGAGCCTAGTAACATAGAAGCTACCTCTCAAAAACCTACGAACTGAAGGAGTATCATAGTTCATTGGGGTTTCCAAGCGAGTCGCTGGTACAGGTTCTGTTGAACTTTGATAAGGATCCCTAAACCCGAAAGCCTCACCCTGTACCCATAGGCTCCTAAGTAGTTCCTTTTTAGGGTTTATATGTAGAATCCTTCAAGGTAATCCCAAAAAGGAACTACTATGGGTATTCTGTAGAACTTCATTCCTACAGCTTCTGATCTTCCATGGTTTCCTTTGCTAGGGATGGGAATCGGGAAGAGCAGTGCCTAAAAGGCTTCGGCGTAAAGAACCGATCAAGGTCCGGTAACACCCTAGCGACACCGTGAAACCCTCTCCAAACCCCACAGAACACGATTGAAACCGCTTTACAGGGACCGTAAAGCGGTTTGGGGCTTTCAGAAGGGGCACTAACTGCTGTCAGGGCTTTCAAAGGATGTATGTTGGCGCCAACATTAGGATTAAAGAAAAGGAGACTTCGCACTAAGCCCAAACTTGGTGATATCACCGCAGGCGGTTTTCCTAATTCTACTTCTACTTCTACTTACTTCTCCAGTATCCCAAGGGAGAACTAAGGGTTCACCTTTGGGATTGGGAATAGTAGCCCGACAACGTTAAAGGCTACCTGCTCTGCTACTATCCCTTACTAGTAGCATCAACATAGCCCAACAACCTTATGGAATAGGGTCTTTGGGCCCACAAGTCGTATAATATGAGTCCTTTGAGGGTAAGGGTATCAGTATAGTCTAGTTACTAAGTCCCATGAGCCAATAAGGAGAGCCTGGGACGGCTACATAAGGCTGCGGGCACACGGGCTTTGAAAGAAATGGAGGTCTGGGCTTTCAGAGTTCAATGTTTTGGGGTCTACAGTAGAAGCTCACAAGTTGGGAACACCAAATAGCTTCAATCCTTAAGACTAAAGCATAGGGAATCCCAGCACTAATTGTCCTTCAGGCGGTTTCCAAGTTTTTTGGTGGGTTTACTCTACACTGAGCCTACCACGGTTCCCTAAACCCTAAACCCTAAACCCCTGAATCCTAAAACCCTAAACCCCAAACCCTAAGTCCCAAAACCCTAAACCCCAAACCCTAAGTCCCAACGCCCTAAACCCGGAGTCCCTAAACCCCAAACCCTGAGATCGGGGCTTACGGTTCGAACCTGTGGATCTGGAGTGTGGGGTTTCGGGGGATTTTGGGTTTAGGGACCGGGCGGGGCGAAGCCCCAAGATTCTGGGACTTCGGGTTTAGGGTTTGGGGACTCAGGGTTTAGAGGTTTAGGGGTTTAGGGTTTGGGGACTGAGGGTTTGGGGGTTTAGGGACTTAGGGGTTTAGAGTTTAGAGTACTGTAAAGCTATCGGTGTTCAGGGCTTCCGGAGCTCTGGAGGGTGGCTGCATGCAAGGCACAGCCACCAATGAAAACTCCCAGTGGGCTCTTCGTAGTTGCCTTGGCTGAGCCAATTTTTCAAAAATTTAGGCTCCTCGTCCTAGAACGCAACCAGCAAAGGAACTAGAATGGAGACTGTAGGACTATTTCACCCTAAACCTTAGACACCGAACCCTGACTGGTGCAGGTGGAAAGCAGATTCGTGGAACTTCGGGTTGGAGATGTTCTCTCGTGAAGTGCGATACTGGCGGCCTTGCTCCTACTCAGACCCCCCCAAAAATATCTGAAAGGCAGGATCCCGTGACATGGAGTCCCCAAAACTACAGAATAGTACATTTTTTTTACGGAGTTCCTATTGAGGGATCTACTGTTGGGATCGAGCGCGCCTCTCTGCACATTGAAACAGAGGGGAGCAATATCAGAGTTGCGCAAACCCTAGCCCCCTAAACTCCCTAAGCCCTCATAAACCTTAAACCCTAAACCTTAAACCCTAAACCTTAAACCCCCTAAACCTTAAACCCCCTAGACCTTACACCCCCTAAACCTTAAACCCCCTAAACCTTAAANNCCTTAAACCCTAAACCCTAAAAGCTGCAGACATGCCAAATCTTTGCACTGCTGCTCGGTTCCAAGAGGGAGCTACGCAGAAGCATCGCGTGGGCGCGATTCACTGAGCCTGTACCCCAAAAACCATCACTCTACGGTTTAGGGTTTAGGGT